GTTGGAGGAAAAAAATTATATGTATGTATATGTAGATAGATAGATAGAGGGCACAGGGTGAGTTGAAGATTAAGGGGTCATATCTGGAGAATAAAATTAAGGGATGAGAGAGGATTATACTCAGAGAAGAAGAAAGGGAGAGGTAGAATGGGGTAAATTATCTCACAAAAAAAAACAGAAAAGAAAAGTCTCTTACAGTGGAGGGGAAACGGGGGAAGGTGAGAGGGAATGAGTGAATCTTATTCTCATAGGATTTGGCTTAAGGAGGAATAACATACACATTCAATTGGGTATGGAAATCTGTCTTACCCTACAGGAAAATAGGGGAGAAGGGGACAAGAGAGCAGGGGGATGATAGAGAGGAGGGCAGATTGGGAAAGGGGTAATCAGAAGCAAATACTTCTGAGGAGGGACAGGGTCAAAAGAAAGAATAGAATAAATGGGAGGGCAGGATAGGATTAAGGGAAATAGAGTTAGTTTTTCACAACATGTCTACTATGGACATGTTTTGCATAACTGCACATGTACAACCTATATTGAGTTGCTTGCCTTTTCAATGAGGGTGGGTGGGGAGGGAGGAAGAGAGAAAATTTGAAACCTAAAGTTTTAAAAACATATGTTAAAAAAAATGTTTTCACATGCTACTGGGAAATAAGAAATACAGGAAATGGGGTACAGAAGTCTATCCTGCCCTACAGGAAAATAGAAGGGGAAGGGGATAAGAGAAGGGGAGAGAGATAGAAGAGAGGACAGACTAGGGGAAGGGATATTCAGAATGCATGCCATCTTGGGGTGGGGGAGGGGGAGATGGGGTGAAAATTTGGAATTCAAAAACTTGTGGGAGTGAATGTTGAAAACTAAAAATAAATAAATTTATATTTAAAAAAATGATGAGCAGGATGCTCTCAGAAAAAGGCTAAGACTTGCATGAGCTGATGCAAAGTGAAATGTACTGTGTTACAAAGTAACAGCAATATTATAAGATAATTACGCCATGAATGACTCAGCTATTCTAAGCAACACAACGATCCAAGATAACTCTGAAGGACTTATGATGAAAAATGCTATCCATCCTCACAGAAAGAACTGATGGTGTCTGAATAGATTGAAGCATACTTTTTTACTTTCTTTATTTTTCTTGAGGGTTTCTTTTTGTCTGTTTTCTTTCACAACATAATTAATATGGAAATGTTTTACATGACTACACATGTATAACCTATATTGAATTATTTCCCTTCTCAATGAGAGAGGGGAGGGAGAAAGGAGAGAATTTGGAACTCAAAGTTTTAAAAACAAATGTTAAAAATTATTTTTACATGTAACTGGGGAAAAATAAAATACTAAAAAAAATTTTTAAAAGACAACACAAAGTCCTTCATAACCTAGTCCCCTCCCACCTTTCCAGTCTTCTTACACCTTACTCTCCGATGGTGACACTGGCCCCCTGGCTGTTCCTTGAACAAACCATTCCATCTAACGGCTCTGAACGTATTCTCTCTGGCTGTCCCCCGTGCCTACATTCTGTACTCTGACTACTGACCTCTCTGGTTCCCTTTAAGTCTCAGCTAAAATCCCACTTTCTAAAGGAAGCCTTCCCCAATTCTCTTTAATTCTAGTGCCTTCCCTCTCTTAATTATTTCCTATTCATCATGCATTTGTCTTACTTTGCATATATTTGTTTGCACAGTATCTCAAGGTGCTGAGTTTAAAGACTGTCTTTTGCCTCTTTTTGTATTCCCAAATGTTTATTTATTGATTGATTACATCCTCTGTTGCACTGTACATACACACTGCAGTACTTGCTGACAAAAAAGACCATTTAGACTTTTCCATCACATGTAACACTCATCTCCATCCTTTTGATACTCAAACCTTTGATTCTTATTCTTGTACTCCAGGGTGTATAAGAGAAAGGAAGAAACTATTAGCCTTAAACTAAGCTGCCCTGTTATCTGTCCAAGAGTTAAAGTTTCTCTTCTAATATGGACATGAGGAGGCTGAATAAAGAGTAGAAGCTGAAAAGGAAGGGATTCAAAATGTTGTAGGACAGAAAGAAGACTTTCCAATATCTTTCAGAATGAAGTTTTTTCAATATGACTTTACTGTTCAGTATGAAATTAATTCCTAAAGCATAACAGACTTATACAGGATGTCTCAAAAATCTTACTGCAGCTATTAAATCTTAAAACTATACTTAAGACTTTTGGTTACCTTGTATTCCACATTCTAAAATCAAATAGAAGTTACTTTTTTAAAATTATGTGTTATTTTGGATTATCCTGGCTTCCTTCAATTAGTGATGACTACTAAGAAATATACACAATAGTAACTTAAGTGTGTTATCTTAAAATCAACAACTCCTTACAATCTTTACCTCATTTACCCCTAGTCAGGAAAGACATTCTTCCCCAGTCAATTCTTCTAATATCTCTTGAAACACCAATTTTTTTTAAAAATTTGCCCATTTTAATGAGAATCTTTCTAAAATAAATTACATAATCCCGTCTCTAAAATAGATTACATTTAACAGAATGTAACTTGTAGAACACCAATATGACAGCTGCTATTATTTTCTTGATTACCCACGGTATCACCCATTCCTGTCCTGTGCTGCCCTCAACAGCTACCAAAATAGAAGGCTGTCTGCTCCAGTAACAAATCCATCTAGACTGCCACGCCATTTAAGTTGTTGCCTCGGCTTTTTATAGGTTGTTTTTTTTTCTTTTCTTCACTGCCAGACTGTCAAGCTGTCAATCGTTTAGTGCTTCCAATGCAGTTGCCTCTAACACAACTTCCCCTCTCTGCCCCTTCTATTTGCTGTTTCTAATCCACTGTGGGCTGGGCAAACCCTGAGCCACAACCAGCCTGGGCCCACGGGGGCTAACTCCCAGATAACAGGGCTGTGCAGTCAACACCAGCCGGCAGCAGGTGTCTTCCTAAGCTGCCACACCTTCAGCGTCCTGTGACATGGTAGGGGAGATGTCAGCCACGTGGGCTAAGCTAATTCCTTTCCTTAGAAGCTACAACAGTCCTAAAGATTTCAGTGGCCCAGGTCACTAAAGATTCAAGCATTTGACATAGCTTCCTGGTGCCCTAGGTTTAAAAGCCCCCCTTGCTTCTGACCCACACTGTGCCCAGCTCAATCAATGCCACATCCTTTCCCTGCTGTGAATGGCCTTCCCTTGCCTAGTAAGAAGAGTTCCCTTTGTTAGCTGTTGGGTGGAATAGGGAATATCCATTCCATTTCACTCTAATTTTTAACCTGAGGTACCGGCCCATAGCTACAGGTCCCCTCTCCAGCAGGACTGACTGTGGTTGCCCTCTTTAGCCTCATCCCCATCAATCACCTGCCTGGGGGCTTGTGCCTCTGCTACAAGCTGGGCTGAAGAGGCAAGAAGGCACCTTGCTTCTAGCTCCCTGGGGGTCACTCTCCACCACCTTGCCCAAACAGTAACCTGAGTCCTAACCCTCCCCAGTGCCCATCCTCCTCTGCCCTTCCTTTCCATTGTACCCTCTGAGAACCCTCCTCTGCTGTGCTGCGGTGCATCTAGAATCAAAGGGCCTGAATTCAAATCCTGCTTCTTCCATGTGACCTATGTGACCTCAGACAAGTCATTTAATCTCACTCTAAAATGAGGGAAGTGGATTAGATGATTTTCCAGATCTATGACCCTAGAGCTCTTCTTTCCATATTCCTCCCATCTTCTTAGGATCTGGGAAACCTAGCTTTTTCCTGAAGATACTACATCCCTTGCACCATCCCATGCCCCCTGACTCACAGGGCCAAGAAGAGTTGACACACTTATTGTGCTTCCCTGTCACTTCTTCTGCCACCATCATCAGCAACCACCTCACCTCCTTGAAGTTCATTCATCCTATCCAGATTCTTGCTGCTGCCACCTACAGATCTCCAGGTCACACTCTCTCTTCCACAAAAAGTTTGGTGTCATTATTCAGTCGTTTCATTCATGTCTGACTCTCCATGACCCCACATTTGGAGTTTTCTTAGCAAAGAAACCACTAGAGTGGTTTGCCATTTCCTTCTCCAGCTCATTTTACAGATGAAGAAACTGAGGCAAACAGAATTAAGTGACTTGCCCAGGGTCCCACAGCTAGTAAGTGTCTGAGGCCAGATTTGATTAGTCTTCCTGACTCCAGACCCAGCATGCTATCCACTGCACCACCTAGCTGCCCTCGTCCAGTACTCAGCTAACAGTTTTTTTTCTCCATCCCAAACCCTGCTCTCTAAAACAGCCAAGGCTCCTAGTTCAACTTTCTAAATTCTTATTACCTCTTTCTCCAATATACCCGAACCATATAAGAGTAGTAATAATTGAAACACTCCTTCTCTGCCCACCTCTAGCAGCTGAATTGAATTTACTCCAGATGCCAAAATTCTTACTCATGGTTCCACAAAAACAAATAAAAGTGCGTTACAGTTTTTAATAGAGGAACAGTAAATCATTTCTGAATAAGCCTAAATGGCTCATCAAGAAATACAGTACCTTGAGGCAGCCAGGTGGTGCAGTGGATAGAGCACCAGCCCTGAAATGAGGAGGACCTGAGTTCAAATCTGGCCTCAGACCAAACACTTGACACTTACTAGCTGTGTGACCCTGGGCAAGTCACTTAACCCCAATTGCCTTATTAAAAAAAAAGAAATATAGTACCTCCCACATAGCACACATACAAATATCTACTGAATTAAACCTGTTTTGGTTTTACTTAGATGCTTTCTGCTTACTTCCCAGGCCTGGCCATCCTCCGGACGGCTGAGTGTCTTCAGTGATTTGATTTCCTACTATATTAATCACTGTACCTATGTAGATACTAGGTAAGTGACTAGTAGCTAACTACTCCGCTAAGAACCCATTTCGGTCTAAATCCAATGTTAGCTTCCCTCTAATCTTATTCATCTACTCTCTGAAAAGACTAGTTAGAAAGGGAAGTTGTGGGGGATTGGAAGGCTGGGCTTTTTTTCTTTTTGCTTTATCACTTACCCACTCACAGTCAATTCCAAGGACTGGACACTGTTCCAACTCCTTCCTGAGTAAAGACTCAACTTCTTCCCATTCCTCTCGTTCAGACACAGTCACCACCTTCTCTCCAAGGATCCTTTCCACTCGTGAGACATTAGGAACAACCAAGGATGACAACAGGGGGTCTGGTTTCACTGAGGCCAGTTCTTGGCTGTCAGCTCCTTCCTGCTCCTCTCTGGCACAGCTGGTTTTGCCCCTCCAACGTCGGAAAACTCTCCATATGATCAGGCCTCCCACTGCTGTGCCCAGAAGGGTGGCCACCGCCATAGCAACTATATTGTGTTTGGGCATCTTCTTGTCTCCTGCCACTCCTTACCACCCCACACTGCAAAACAAACGGGAAAAAAGAGAACAAAAATGACAGCATACTTGAAGGAATCATTTCCTCTAAACTGGGCCTGAATACCTACAACAAAAAACATTTTCTTCTTTGACCACCCAAAGCTGATGGTAACCAGGGTCTGTATTAGACAAAATTATCAAGTAGTTAATGTTGGTCTTCTTCTTCTTCTTTAGCCTTTCCTATCCCACCATTGGTGGTATACTCCCCTCCCCTGTCCACCATTCACTCACTTCAATTACCCAGTGCCTTCAAAATAGGAAATGTTATTATATCATAAATCACAGAATCCAGAGTGGAAGATGCTTTGGAGATCACCTAGTTCAATCTCTTCATTTTGTAGATTAAAAACTTAGTGTCACTGAGGTTAAGTGACTTGCCCCAATTCACACAATAGTGAGTAAAAGGGCAAAGATCTGAACACATCACCTGACTCCAAATGCAGTGTTGTCACTACATATCTGTAAAAATTAAATGACATGATGTAGATGAAAGTATTTTTAAAGTTCCCCACAAATTTAAACTAACCACAACAATAATATTGATCAGGGGATGAGCTGCAGTCAATGGGACCACTGCTAGGTATTTGCATTTTAAACCTTAATATAATTCTGGTCAGAACTGTAATTTTGTCATCTAGGGAAAATTTCACAACCATAAACCAGGCATACCCCCAGCATGAAAAGCAGTGTCAAATCAACTATGAGATGAATTCAGTTAAAGGACAAAGAAGAAACTTCTGACTTTGTGATATGCAGCCGGGGGGGGGGGGGGGGGGGCCAGGGAGAACCACCTTGTGTCAAAAGGAAAGAGAGACCTTTTATACAATGAAGCAGCTGGAAAGATACCATAGGAGCAGAAGCTGTACAAAGAAGCTTTCATCCAATTTTACATAATTATTCTTACTAACTAGGTGCTAAGCTTCACTGTTTCTACCTATAAGTGCTTCTAGCATTCTGGTTAGAGCCTCAGTCCCCCCACTCTAATTCTATCTCAGACTAATCAACCATTTATTACTATATCTGACTTTGTGCTAAGCAGAGTAGACACAAAGAAAAAACTGAAAATCTCTCCTGCTCTCAAAGGAGATTAGCGGCATAAAAGTTTGTAGCCCTAATTAAAAGGGATCATAGGCATTTGGGGTCAGGTGGGAAGATATAATGGGTTAGATCAAGAAGAAACAAAGGAGGGGACCTACGTGTTCTCTTTGAAATCACATATCCCAGGACAGAGCCAAGATGGCAGAGTAAAAGCAGTGACTTGCTTGAGCTCTCTCCTAAACCCCTCCAAATACTTGTACAAAATGGCTCAAAACAAATTCTAAAGCAGCAGAACCCACAAAAAGACAGAGTGAAACAAATTTCCAGCCCAAGACAACTTGGATGGTTGACCAGAAAGGTATATATCAAGCCAGGTGGGGAGAGGAACACAGTTTAGCGTGGGCGTACAGGCAAAACAGGCCTCAGCGAACCTGGAGCAACCCTCAGAGGACTGAATCACTGGCAGCTATGGCGGTTTCCAGACTTCTCAATCCACAAACGCCAAAGACAACTTAGAAAGTCAGTAGGAAAAGTCTGTGACCAAGGTGAGAGAGAAGCTCAGTCCCAGCTCCAGTCCTCCAGCTTGGCCTGGGGCAGCAGCTCCTTCTGGAGCTTCCTGCCCACAGACTGAGGGGGAATTGAGTGGCTTATCACAGGGGGATTGCAGGGATCTCTTTTCTGATGCTGAGGCAGGATTCTCTTGCTTTGCCTGTGCTTGGATCTGGGTCACAGTTCTGGGTGGCAATCCTGGGGTGAAAAGGAGAGCTGGCATGGTGGAGCTTATAGTGGCAGTGCAGAGTAAATCCTCTTCATAGTTCCAAGGCAGAAAAGAGTGCTTGTGGTCACTCACAGACCAGAGCACAGGCCAGGAAAGGAGTAAACAACTCACCCTTGATCATACCACCATGGAAGAAGAGAAAACTTATAAGTCCCTAGAAGTATCTCTGAAAACAGCTACACAAACCCCCCCAAGCTTGAGGCAGTACATTCTCCACACTGGAAGCAGACCCCTACCTTAACAAAGACTTTATAACTCAAGTAATTGGCTGGGATCATGAGCAAACTGTACAAAAAAAAAAAAGTGAGACCACAGAATCTTTCTTTGATGACAAAACCAGGGGGCAGCTAGGTGGCACAGTGGATAGAGCACCAGTCCTGGAGTCAGGAGGACCTGAGTTCAAATCCAGTCTCAGACCAGACACCTTACTTACTAGCTGAGTGACCCTGGGCAAGTCACTTAACCCCACTGCCTAGCAAAAACAAAAACAAACAAACTAACAAAAAAAACATACAACCAGAAGACAACAAAGACAAAGCTCCTACATCCAAAGCCTCCAAGAAAAATCTGAATTGGTCCCAGGCCATGTAAAAGCTCAAAAAGATTTTGAGAAGCAAGTAAGAGAAGTAGAGGAAAAACTGGGAAGAGAAATGATAGTGATACAAGAAAATCATGAAAAACTAGTCAATAGCTTGCTAAAGGAGACCCAAAAATATACTGAAGAAAATAACACCTTAAAAAATAGCCTAACCCAAATGGCAAAAGAGGTCCAAAAAGCCAATGAGAAGAAGAATGCCTCCAAAAGCAAAACTGGAAGTCCAAAAGCTTACTGAAGAAAATATTCCTTAAAAATCAGAATGGAGCAATTGGAAGCTAATGACTTTATGAGAAATCAAGACACTGTAAAACAAAACCAAAAGAATGAAAAAATAGAAAACTGTGAAATTATATCATTGGAAAAACAACTGTCCTGGAAAATAGATCAGGAGAGATAATTTAAAAATTACTGGATTATCTGAAAGCCATGTTCAAAAAAAGAGCTTAGACATCATCTTTCAAGAAATTATCAAGGAAAATTGCCCCAATATTCTAGAACCAGAGAGCAAAATAGAAATGGAAGGAATACACTGATTATCTCCTGAAAGAGATTCTCAAAGGAAAACTCCTAGGAATATTATAGCCAAATTCCAGAGTTCCCAGGTCAAGGAGAAAATATTGCAAGCAGTCAGAAAGAAACAATTCAAGTATTGTAGAAACACAATCAGGATAACACAAGATTTAGCAGCTTCTACATTAAGGGACCGGAGGACTTGGAATATAATATTCCAGAGGTCAAAGGAGATAGGATTACAACCAAGAATCACCTACCCAGCAAAACTGCATATAATCCTTCAGAAGAAAAAAATGGAGATGCAGTGAAATAGAGGACTTTCAAGCATTCTTGATAAAAAGACCAGGGCTGAATAGAAAATTTGGCTTTCAAATACAAGACTCAAGAAGAAACATGAAGAGGTAAACAGGAAAGAGAAATCATAAGGGACTTGTTAAGGTTGAAGTGTTTACATTCCTATATGGAAAGATGACATTTAACTCATGCGACCTTTGTCAGTATTAGGGTAGTTGGAGAGGAAAAAATTATATGTATGTAGATAGATAGATAGATTAGATAGATAGATAGATAGATAGATAGATAGATAGATAGATAGATAGATAGAAGGCACAGGGTAAGTTCACGGTGAAGGGGTGCTATCTGGAGAATAAAATTAAGGGATGAGAGGGGATTATATTGGGAGAAGGAGAAAGGTAAATTATCTCACATAAAACAGAAAAGAAAAGGCTCTTACAGTGGAGGGGAAACAGAGAAAGGTGAGAGGGAATGAGTGAATCTTATTCTCATAGGATTTGGCTTAAGGAGGGAATAACATATACACTCAATGAGGTACGGAAATCTGTCTTACCCTACAGGAAAATAGAGGGGAAAGAAGACAAGAGAGCAGGGGGATGATAGAGGGGAGGGCAGTTTGGGGGAGGGGATAATCAAAAGCAAACACTTCTAAGGAGGGATAGGGTCAAAAGACAGAATAGAATAAATGAGGGGTGAGATAGAATTAGGGGAAATAAACTTAAGTTTTTCACAACATGACCACTATGGAAGTGTTTTGCATGACTACACATGTATAACCTGTATGGCGTTGCTTGCCTTCTCAATGAGGGTGGGTGGGAAGGAGGAAGGGAGAAAATTTGCAACCCAAACTTTTAAAAACAAATGTTAAAAAAATTGTTTTCACATGCAACTGGGAAATAAGACATACAGGAAATGGGGTACAGAAATCTATCCTGCCCTACAGGAAAACTGAAGGGGAAGGGAATAAGAGAAGGGGAGAGAGATAGAAGGGAGGGCAGATTAGGGGAAGGGTTATTCAGAATGCATGCCATCTTGCAGTGGGGGGAGGGACTAGATAAGGAGAATATATGGAATTCAAAATCTTGTGGAAGTGAATGTTGAAAACTAAAAATAAATTAATTAATTAGGAAAAAAGAAAAGGAAGGGAGAGAAAGAAAGATGTTTAGTCAAGCAAAAAATAAAAAAAAAAGAAATCACATTATTCCACCTATATAGTGCATGAAAGCAAATTTGAATATGAGTACTTTAATGAGAGGTGGCAGAAGATCAGAAAGGGAAATCTGGTGAATCCTTCATACAGAGAAAAAGCTCAAAAATGATTAGTTTGGAATCACAAAAGTAATATTAAGGTCCCATGATCTCTAGTATAGATATACTCAAGAGAATAAAGAAAGGTTCAGAAGTTACTGTCAAGAACATAGTTGTCAATGACTAACCATGGGCATCATGTGTGTTCACTCTCATCCACAGAAAGGATGGGAAAGTAACCCAAGTTTATGCACAGACTGATATAATCATTACTGCACTTGCCTTCTACCGAGTAAATGTTATGATTATTACTGTTTAGTAAATGTTTTGTGTTAACGGTATTATGGTGACTGATTTTTTAAATAAATGGTAAGCATACCAGTTGGGAATAGAGGTACATAGTAGCAAAGCAGTAGAAGTGGAGGCTTCCCTTCCCCTGGACTTCTCAACAGAGACAACCCTAGCACAACACGTTATGGTGGCCCCACTCTGAGAACTTCAGACCTTTCAGCAT